AAATTGTGGCTCACTTCGGGCCTTCAGTCTGCTTTGCACTAATCGCGAACATCTGCGGAGAAGTAGATTACAGCAGCTTAGAGCACGTTGTCGCGCCTCTTCGTGCTTTTATGAGGGCCGACAAGAACGCAAGAGCATACATCACAAACTCGTTGGCGGAACAGCCACTTCTCCAACGCTTGCAACAAGACCAGGGTGTTCAAGACATGGTACGAAAGCTCATTGAGAGCATGTCTAGGTATGTTTGACCAACGGCCGTGGTGCGTGTATTCAAAGCTAACCTATGTACAGGAATGCAAGGAACAGTGTGGCTTTCAAGGACACGGTAAAGGCCTTCTGGTCGAGTTGCAAACAGCTGCAGATGCAGCTCCAACCACAGGTGATGAACCCAGCACATCGCTTCGGCCAAGGTTTCCCTCAACCGAGCACATACTGAGCGATTTGTTGGATTTATAATTCAGCAAACGCAGCCATGGCGAAAGTCAGGCCAAATGACAATTTGAAAGCAACATTGTCTTGGACCAGCGACCGGACGTTCATGGACTTTAACCGGCGTTGGAGGAACGAGTACGGTATGATGTGAATTCCTCGCGACTCGATGAACTAGTACATGGGTCAATCTTGTTTTCCATGTTCAAAGCATGAGCATATAGGGTAGACAACGGGAAGTGCATAATCGGGAAAACATTCCAGGATGTAATGTTCGTTAAAAGGCGTATATCACAGATAGTTGTATAGAGGCTCAATGACTGAGATCATGAACTTACCTGTACAGCAAAGATGCCTAATCCAATCAATATAGCCAGCGGCTTGCTGAAGACGCTAATTCCCACCCCTCCAATAACACCGAGAATACTCCCCATGCTGATTTGTCGAATTGCTCTGGGGTTTACCGCACCTGACTGAGTAACAAGGGGTGTTCTTGCTTCAGCGGCATAGTTGCTCTTCAAGTCACTAGTAATCTTTGTAATGGGATCCGGTCCATCGCAGCGTATGCGTTGCGCATTTCGGAATTGATATGCCAGCAGCGGCGTCGAGAGAATGAGCGGCGTGCTGAGCATCAAACCTCTGCGGAGACCTGGCAGAACAAACGACATGTTTGCTTGTCTTTGTGAGCGTCTAGGATCACGGGCGAACTGTTGCTGGCGCAGGTATTCGGAAAGCTGTCTCTCGAGGCTTCGGTCGGCTGCCGTGATGCGTACAGAGGAGCGGATGGCACGTGCCGGTAGCAGCGTGTGTGGGACCGGGATGTGTATGGGAAGTTGCGTTCTTATCAAACCACTCAATCCCAATGGCATTCGGTACATGGATGTTTGTGCTGGAATAGATTACTGACTTCTGGGTAAGAGCTGAAATCTGAGGGTAGTGATGTCATTGGCTCACTAGCATCTTCGCTAAGCTATCTTGGGCATAGCAGGACCCTGAGTTTGGGTGCCCCAAACGTAACGTCGCGTCTTCCAACACCATGTTGGACGTGTTGATATCAACTAGGCACTATTTGGCGCTCGCCATGACAACTTTCGCTCCTTAAAATCTCTCAATTGACTAAAACTCAGGTGGTCAAGTCACAATGGCGCTTCGAACGCTTTTTCTGACGGTCGCAAATCTTCTGATCCCAGTCGCGATACTGGTCTTCGCAACTGGCTTCTTTCCTTACAAACCGTTTATGCCGGGTCTTGCCAAGTATGAAGACCTTGGATTCTCTGAAAAGCTGGGCACAGATTGGCAAAAGCCGCCTATTCCGCCGTTTAACAAAGTTGTCTTCATGGTGGTTGACGCGCTAAGAAGTGACTTTGTGTACGGCGAGGAGAGCGGCATGTCCTTTGTGCAGAGGTACGATAGTCTGCTGGAAAGTCTGATACAGAGTCGCATCATGGCTGACATTTCTCTAGTCTAATACGCGACGGAACCGCACTACCGTTCACGGCTCACGCAACCTCCCCTACAATTACCATGCCACGTGTAAAGGCCATTACCACGGGCTCTATTCCCTCCTTCGTAGACGTAATCCTTAACTTTGCCGAATCAGACACGACGTCGACCCTCGCGACGCAGGATACATGGCTCGCGCAGATCAAAGCAAAGGACTTTGAAAATGGCAAAGGGAAGCTGGTCATGTACGGCGATGATACTTGGCTGAAGCTCTTTCCCAATGTCTTCGAGCGCGCAGACGGAACGAGCAGCTTTTTTGTCTCGGTCAGTCATAAGCGTCCTGTCGTATATAGGAACAATAGAATGTTGATTTCAAAGTGCAGGATTTCACAGAGGTTGACAATAACGTGACGAGGCATGTTCCAAATGAGTTGCTGAACAGTGACTGGAATGCAATGATTATGCATTATCTGGGTTTGGATCACATTGGGCACAAGGCTGGTCCGAAGAGGTGAATGCTGTGTTCAACTTGGTTAGCATTCAAAGTATTGACCATCGCATAGCCCCAACATGGTTCCCAAACAGATTGAAATGGATAAAATCGTTCGCGACATTTACTCGGCTATCGAAAATGAGGACCACCTCTCCGACACACTGTTCGTTCTTTGTGGCGACCATGGTATGAATGATGGCGGTAATCATGGTGGATCCTCTCCTGGCGAGACATCCCCAGCATTAGTGTTTATGAGCCCAAAGCTGGCCAAGATCACCGATCCTGCCAACAGAAAGAGTCCAATCAAGCCCAAGACCGAAGGCGAGTTTGAATACTACCGCATGGTTGAGCAGAGTGATATCGCTCCAACACTGGCTAGCTTGCTTGGATTCCCGGTCCCCCAAAACAATCTCGGTGTCTTCCTTGAGGATTTCCTTCCCTTCTGGGATGCGCGTAAGTAGGAGTGCTGGCTGACAGAGGGATGTGGCTAATAATGTCTTAGCTCTGGATCGCATCCAGCTTCTCTACCGCAATGCGAAACAAATGAAGAAGATTGTGGCAGCCAAGTACACTAATCTCAAGTTCGAGGACTCGTCCGTAAATTTGAACCATGCTCCAGAGTGCGCCGAGGGATACGATGTATGTTCTGTGACAATCTCCACAGACGGCCAATTACTAATATGCTTAGGCAAATGATGGCCAAAGGCTCGCCTGTCTCTGGCGAGCGATTACCTCTTCATTGGCAGACGGAAAGGACGATGTTACCAGCTTTTACAAGGTAGGCTTCGCGTCGCTCGATGCCACAATCTGGACCATTCACACTAACAACCTCAGTTCATGCACCTGGCTCAAGAAACCATGTCCAGCACAGCTTCCAACTACAATCTGCCACGCCTCTTCATCGGCACGGGCATAGCTTTCCTCATATGCGTGCTCTCCTTCTTCACTCTCCCTTCCTTCCGACCCGTCACACCAGCCGGCATCTACTTCGGTCTATCCCTCGCTCTCTACGCAGTCCTCATGTTTGCGTCCTCCTACGTGGAGGAAGAGCACAACTTCTGGTATTGGGCCACATCAGGCTGGTTCTTCTGCCTTTTCCTACAGAACATGCGCAAGGAATGGTACAGCCAGTGGATCTTCCACCCTGCAATCATGGCGCTGGCTGTACACAGAATCATACGGAGGTGGAATCAGACGGGTCAGAAGTACGCTGGCGCGGATGATATTGTGAATAGCGGCTTGTTCCATGGGAGATACTCTGCTATCCTGTGGATATTCATCGGAGTCACATACATGGATCTTACGATTCGGCTAGCCAGGCACGTCGCACGTTCCGTTGCGACGTTTGATTCTGACCAGAAAGCTCGTGCTGTTGAGCTCGAGTCGACGGATCAGCACCGCCTGCTTGGTACAATTGCTGTATTACCGCTATGTGGAACAGCATTCGTTTTCAAGCTTGCCTTCACGGCAAAGGACGCCCCGGAGATGACAAGCGGCATCAATGCAGACCTGATGTCAAAGATCGAGACATTGGAACTTGTCGGCCTCGCTCGCATGGTCTTTGGTGGCATCCTTCTGAGTGGATTCTGGATCACAATTGCGGAATGGACACGCTCGAATAGGAGAAAGGCGCGTGGGAGACAGAGCAACGGCGGTATGTCAACCATCCATCTAACACCCATATCCTTTCCCTTTGCAGAGAAATACTCGCTAACAGACAATAACCCTTTTAGATCTCGCCGTCGCCTTCTTCGACCTAACAACCCTCTTCCTCCTCACCCAAACAAAAGCAGAAAACATCCCTCTCTACTTCCTCTTCCGCCTCCAAAACCTCTTCCTCTGTACGTTTTCCCCCTTGCCCCTCCTCCCAAAAAACCCCCCTCAAAGAAAGAAAACTAACCCATGCAACCAGCCCTGCTCAACCTAACCCCAGTATCCATAACCCTAACCACCCTCCTCCTCTCCCAAACCTCCTTCTTCGCCCTCGCAAACTCAAACTCCATCTCCTCCATCTCCCTCTCCAATTCCTACAACGGAGTCTCAACCTACAACATCCTCGCCGTCGGCCTCCTCGTCTTCGCATCCAACTGGGCAGGTCCCATATACTGGTCGCTATCGGGTCTGCTGCTGCTAGGTCGTCACGGCGGCATGCAGCGCTTCGTGGATACGCGCGAGATGCATGTTGCGGATTGGGTGGCCAAGGAGCGCGAATGGTTGGGTGAGTTGGCGGGAAGGGAGCAGGATGCGAGGGACAAGAGAGGAGGCTGGGAGGCCTGGGTCGGGCATGTAGCGGTGCTGACGTTTTGGACGGGGGCGATGCTGGCGGCGGTTATGTTGGCTTGTACGGTGTTGAGACAGCACTTGTTTATTTGGACCGTGTTTAGTCCTAAGTATCTGTTTGCCATGGCGTGGGGGGTTGCCTGGCATTTGGGTGTTACGGTGGGGTTGGGTGGGTTGGTTTGGTGGCTGGGAAGCTGGTGAGGTTGGAGGGGGGTGTGTGTGTGGAGAGAGTGTAGTGGAGGGGTGGGTGGGAAAGAAGGGTGAAGATATGCGTATCTTGCAGCACTGTTTTACTTCAGATTTGTAAAGCTTTTTGGATGGTCTTTGCTAATTTAGCTAATGCGTTTCTGACCCGCTACCTCTTCCGTGTATGCATGTGTGTATACTGAGGTATTCTTACTCCCCCCGTCTCTTCTTCTTCCTCTTCTTCTTCTGTGCTTAACCCCTCTGCTTCTCCCTCTCCTATTATTACACCCCCTGTATCATCTTCTGCCTCTTCTAGTATCACTCCCCCATCCTCCTCTTCGTCTATTGCTATCCCTCCCCAGGTATCCCCTACTTCAACCCTTACTCCTTCTGTCTCTCCTATACTTCTCCTCCTCCTCAACTCCTCCCTGCTCCTCTGCGCATCTTTCTTCCACCGTTCACGAACCCTCTTCTGTGCCGTTCCTCTCATAACCTCCTTCGTCAGTACCTTCTTCTCTCGCGGGTCCTCGACGACACTCCAGCGCACTCCGTCTTCGGCCAATTCTCTCGGATCGTAGCGCGAAAGCTCAACAAACATTTTTTCGCTGCAATACGTGCATTTGACTAGGTCGCCAGGCGCAACGCCAGGTGGATCGGAGCCTGGGATTTTAATGGGATTGCTCGAGGTGTGTGGAGGTCTATGTGGAGGTAGAAGAAGTCGTTTGGTTAGTAGACTGCTTGCCCCTTTTTCTGTCTCTGACTGAAGTGGAGACTCACACTTGGAATGAGCTCGCAGCTCCCGACCCAACATCGTGGCTATTCTTTCTCTTGTCGGCCTTGTAATCGTCTTTTGTGATGCCCCTCTCATTCAGGCTTCCACAGTACTCGCATCGCCAGCTGTCTTGCTTCTTAGCTACATCCACTATCTTTTCCTTTCCGGCCTCTTTCTTCATGTATGCATCCTCGTGCCATGTATCTAATATGGGATTTCGTGTAATGTCTGACCCACGTCTCTGGGATGGGGAGCTGGGGTTGTGACGGTCTGGCAGAGGCGTTGTTGGCGAGCGAATGCGGTCGTGTTGGGGTTCATATGAGAACTGTTCTGGAAAGGCGAAAATCTGAGGCTCTGGGTATTGCAGTTGGGATTGCTGTGAAGCAGTTATTTGAGGCATGGATAGGCGTGCTAGACTTGAAGAAATGGATGAATTCCGACTGCGGATTTGGACTCTGAAGGAGTGAGGATGTAAGCAAGGTGCAGAATTTAGAAGACTTGAGGTTTGAGGGGACAGTTTTGTGTAAGATAGTCAGCTCTACTGCTTCCTCGAGTGGTTCGCGTGCTGTTGTGATACGAAAAGGTCAGAAAGGGATTCAAGACATACATATCGTTCTCTATTTCCACTTGGCTTCTCTTTGAAAATGATACGTTGGTACTTCCCTTCATTTCTGGGCCTGCAGTGTTCCCGTCGTCACTATAAATGTCTCGTTAGCACTTATTTCTGTAGTCATCCTTCGCTATCATTCTTTTGAAATGTGACCAGAAATCAGGTTGTACCCTTGACCAGAATCTTCGGAAGCCGATTCCCAATCGTCTGAGTTGTCTTGACTCATTTCACAAGGTACCAAAGTGGTAATTGGATTACTGTATAGAAATGCTATGATATGAGAGTAGATTATAAGATTTCACTGACAGTGCAAAATGCTAAGAGGTGAGACGAGGTGCGCGATGAGTGTCTGGAAAGCGTATTAGACACATGCAGAATACGCGCTGTCTTTGGAGTACCTTGGATGTCATCTCTCATGACTTCATTTCCACCAATAACGGGTCTTGGGAACGGGTTTCGCAAAATACACTGAGCGATTTTGTCAAGCTACATCAATGTCTCAAAACATCGAATTCCTTACAAAGTGATGATTCATGACTGTAAGACCCTGTACCAAGGGCGGTTACCACTTCTTGTGGTTTCTTTTAAAAAAGTCCTACACTACATACAAGCAACCCGAGAAGCAATCAAGTTTTAGAAGATCTGGGTTTCGCCTATCGTCACGCCCAAAGGAAGGCTAATTATGAGGGGCGTTAAACATGAATCACTCCACCACTTCAACTGCAAATCCTGCTTCTAGTGCTACTGCTAAAATCGCGAGGAAGTGCACAAATGCTCGCTATTAGATGCTATTCAACAGCATACTCAGTCGCTTGTCAATAAACGCACATTAGGTGTTACCAGAAATAGAAAGACACGATGTTGATGCAAACAGTGTTAGTGCATATGAACCGTCATCTACATTATGCTGTGTATCTACCAAGGATGTGCACTGTCGGTACCTGCGACAGCAGCGGCCGTGCGTCTCAGCAGAACCATATGCTATGTGACTAAATTAGTAATATTACCGTTAACCCCACATCGACAAAGGACTTTTGCCCTCTATAGCAGACTGTTTGTTTCAATATTCAGCTGCTCAAGAATACAGTGCTAGTCATGTGAGTCGGACCGGAGAAGCCAAGGAGACCACATGGCCTGCACCAAATAGGACATGCTGCTGTGCTAGGACGTGCTTAGTTTCACATTTTGCTCTAGTTAATTTGGACCACCATAACATCACGACAGGTATAACTTGTGTCGCGATTATGTCTTATTCGTCATACATAGGTGTGCATATGGGCATTAACGTAGCAGCGCGTTGAGAGGTAGGCAACAGTGTAAAACAGCCATGCACTACGTACAAAACCAATTCAAGATAAACCTCCGATCCAATCACACTATCTGCCAAAACGCCTTTTCTTGGCTGCGACACTACCTAGTGTAGAAACATAGGTCAAACAGGATCAGAGCGTCCTATGTAAAGCGTTGTAGAAGATGCCCAGACATTATGCTCTAAAACGGTCGGAACGTGCCGCAGGACCAATCAGAACCGGGTGATCTACGTATCCACGCTAAAGCAGATATGGATGACCTGACTCAATATAGATCCACCCTTCTCTACTCAGCAGTCAAGTTAAAGGCACAATGCTCTAGACAGGCTTGGCTAAATCTCTGCTCGCAACTTGGACGACCTTGACTAGCTAGGCGGTAACATTTCTTGATAGTTGAGACACCTAGGCTTGTCCGAATATCCACTGCTGCGCAACAGTGTACCTGAAAGCCCGATGATAATTTCCGGGCATTTCCTTGGTGTTGCCTAGGTGTGGCTATTTTCACTTTTTTGTATGGGGTTCCCAAGACTCATGGTTTGTAGACAATTGGCCTCTTGGATGAAGAAGAAAGTCCGATCCGAGATACTATGTACATTTACTTTACCTGCTCGGCCTGCAGGCTCTTCACGAAGCCAGCATGGATTTTCGAATGCTATGGTGATGAGTGTGTTTTAGGGTATATTGGAGCCACACGGTTGCCTTCCACAAACAAGATACCCTGCTTCTTAGGGCCAAAGCTCTATCAGAAGACAGTCATTCATGTGTTGCCGTGGCCCAGCATCTGACTCGGAATTTTCTAACGAGGATGCTCCCATATATCGGCAGACCAGTTTCGAAACGAGGCGGTGGAGAATTTTCTTAAAATACACATCATGGTTTCTGTACCAGTAAGATCTGAGCCATTTGTGGTCCACACCCGTAAGGCCCAGTCATGAATAAGGCATTACCATCCTTAGCTCAGCCAATACTGAACCTGCATGACGGTACTAAAGTGTTTCCAAACAACGATAGAAACCTTTTTACTGGTCAGAATGGCCAACTAGTCGATTTTGTCCCTGTACTCTCAGTCAAACATAGACTGAATCACTTCTAAGGTGTTCCCTAGAGCGTGCACATGTCAAACTGAAACATCATGCCGCTGTCAAAGTGCCACTGCCAAGAGATAAAGGCATATGGAAGCAAATTATTATTGACTAGTCTACTCAGAACAACAGGTCATCGATTCTGTATAAAGACTACCAGAAATCGAGTTTACAGAAGCATCACTCACACTCTCATTCCCAACTATCACTCACTGTCTTTCACAGCTACCACTCACCAAGTCTATCATTATTACTCCCAATTGCTTCAAAATGCGTTTCTCTCTTGCCTACCTCATCGGCACCGCCGCTCTTTCCAGCGCAGCGCCCATCCTTGAACAGGGTCTTGACGCTCCTTCAGTTGTACGATCAAGCTCATATCTCAAGAAACTCATGATTTCTAACTCAAAATTCAGGACATCCTACCCTCTCACGTCACCAGTTCTCGCCCCGATAGCCATGTGTCCAAACGCGCTATAGCCGAGATCCTCGCCGGCAGTGTGGCTTCAGCAGCCGGCGAGCAGCTCACCCTTGCACTCGCCGGGATAGTGAAAAAGATGCTTCCTCTCACCGAGTGGGACCCCGCTCGCGAGGCTTTTACCCAGGAAGCGACTATGTCACTGTGGAACAACAACCCAGACCCGGCCAAATGGGCCGCAGCTGTGTGCTACAACCAGGCATGGGATGTCAGCAACAAGGCAGGCATTTCGGATGTGGTGAGCCTGAAGTTCAGCCTCGGTGCTCTCAACACCGACTACGATTGCATGTATATCGGAAAGGGCACTCAGTTTTATACTCAGGGTGATGGCGGTTTCATCAACGTAAGTGCTTCTTTCACAGCAACGTTTTAGCTGGGACTAATTATGATGTGTAGCTTCGTTACCAATATGACGACAAAACTTGTAAATATGATGCCCTCACCGGCGATCTTTCTTGCTAGAAGAATCTTAGAGATAGATATGGACTTTTGTGGGTGGCGTTGAAGTTTTGATTTTGTTTTCATTTCATGTTCATTTCTTCAAAATTCAAAACTAAAAAAAAGCTGCCGGATTGGACACGAACAACGGTTATCCAGCAGTCGGAAGACAGCTGTCGATCTATTGTAACGATTACGAACATTTTCTTATATACGGCCTTGCAATTGATATTATCATTTAGATACCTCGTCTTCCGTCATGTCTACTGACTATAACTTCCAAGCCAGATCAACTAGCAGTGAGCAGATATCAGTGAGTAGCGGGTACATACAGCAGTAGGTAGATAGATTAAAATTTAGAACTAAAGCATCTGCTTTCTTAAGCGCCACTACGAGCTGTAAGTATACTACTATATTAAAATATGTTTAAATCAGCGAACAAGAAAGTTTATAATGAATGATGTGAATAGTATCTAGCCACGAGTTTGAATATGAAGAATATAATCTACCTTACACCCGCACTGCGTCGATGGTAGTAAAGTAAGGAAGACATTGAGGGAAAAGGAAGAAACTTCGAAGTGTTGCAAAATTATAGCTTGGATGACCCGTCTATAACACAAGAATTTCGGCTCTCATTGCAGCTTTAGCTGCATATTACAATTGGTCCCGGAGGGGTTTTTCGTGAGAGAAGATTCCTATTTCTAGATAGCGCTTAGTCACATAACGAACACCATTAGCCAAAAAAAACAAGCTAAACCAGCCAAAATAGCCAGATTAGCTAGAGTAGCTAGAAAAACATTCCAGACAATAGTTTTGAATAGGGTTACGAGTTACCCTGTGCACTGGCATGATAAGATTTTACAACTGAACTGTGGTTAATCGCTAGTTTATTTTCACGTGATAGGCAGCAGACTGGAAAGAACATTCTCGTGAGCCTGTCAGAGTCACATTCTATAAACGAACCATGGTTGACCGCCAAATTCCCCCTACGTGTTGGGCAGTAGCCTCCAGGATTAGTCACAGGTGCGAGAAGGAGCATTCTCGTCAGCTTTTCCTAGACCTATATAATACCCGCACCCCCCTCGCATTTCCTTCTCATCACCACTACCACTACCACTAAGGTCTCGCAGAGGTCCACCCGAATCCTTTCATTACGTACTTTGACTGTAAAGTCAATTTTTTTGATACCCGNAGGTTGGGGTGTGGCCTGCCATTCTTTTCTGAGATAATTGATCTGATACGCTATATAGCAAACAGAGGGAAAAAAGTCAAGCGACCACTACCACTAAAATGTCTTCCTCATCGCCGCCCCCTCCAGAGCGCAATATTCAGAGGTCTAAGCGAAAAGCCTCAAGCTCGCCGTCACCAATACTTCAAGAAGATACTATCAAGCGGGTCAAGGCACGAGATCAATCACTTATTGGTGATGAGCATAACGGCAAAAGAACCATCTCGATTCCGGTAGAGATGGATTCTCCGCATACGTATGAGTGCATGGGTCTAACCCCCCAAGCGGCACGAGCTATATACAACGATGGAAAAGAGATTCGAGATGGCTTGTTGAACGACTATGGCGAGGATTTCGATGCGGACTTTTTTGAGTGTAGTCTTGAGGCATACTTGGTTAAGAGAGTTACTAGAGTCTGTGGTGAGGTACTCGCAGCTGGAGATGGAAACAACTGGAGAGAAGCAATGACAGAGGCTGGCATCAAGAAAGAGTTTCAAGATGCTCTGATGGATGAGGAGTTCGAGGCTATCCGTGGCACACAGTCTCTCCAGTGTTGGCTCGAGGAGATCTTCGGCAACTACTTCCGCACATTCGAACACATGAACGCGAGCATCCTGGACGACCCTAAGAAGGACGTTTCGGTAATGGGGAAGGATGTTTAGAGGGGTTGAATGCTTGTTCAAGGCTCGGAAATGACTGTAATGTGTTTGATTAATTGGGTTTTCTCATATTTACTTAGGTGATTGAAGGGATTACAGAGTTTTGGTGCCGAAGAAGCTTTCTCTGGATTTCCCTTACCAACCACAAAATCCAGTTGCACTTGTGTGTCGACATAGCTCGGTAACATTCCTCAATCTTTTTGATAAGTCTCTCCCCCTTTAACTATAAAAGTAACACCTAAAATATTGAAGACTAATCTAGTACCAACGTAAATTCCTTTCGACGTTCCGTTTCGTAGGGAGGACCTTTTACAAGTTCTAGTGCCGAAGACGCTCTCCTATTGATGTCTTCTCCAATGGACCCCTATATTAATTCACAGACAAACAATACTGTATATCTAGCTATTTTAAAGATAACTGGTATTAGCTAATACAACCTATTAAATGTTTTATAAAATACAGTTTCTAAGATTCTTAATAACAGGAAATTATATTCCAAGATAGCCTAAAGATACTAAGTATTCTCTCTTCTTCTCTACTAACTAATTATTATACTAGAAAATTTTAAAAAAAATCGTAACCCTTATACAAAAAAACTCTCTTCGCTATCCTGTCTTAATCCCTAACAACCCCTCAAAAAAACGCCCAAGATCAAAGTCACCCCCCTCCCCCACGCATATATTCCTAATTCCTAAGCCCCTCTATACACTACTCACTTCTTAGCATCCACCGCCACCACCACCGCCATCCCCTCCTCCACAACCACCACCACCTCCTCCATCACCACCGCCCCCACCTCCTCCATCACCACCCCCTCCACTCCATCCCCCACTAAACCCCCCACTAGTATACCCGTACGCGCTCGTCGTACTATTATACCCACTATACCCCCCGCTCTTGTGCTTGCGATCTCTTTTCTTGTTCTTAGTCACGTACCGCGGTGGCTCCGGGTAGTGGTAAGGTTCTGGTTTGGAGGAGCCGCAGCCCATTTTTTACCGCGAAGATGAGATCTCGAGGTTCGGTAGGGTACTTTTGGTTTGAAACAAGTTTACTTGGTGGATAGAGTATTGTTGCTCGGTTATGGACAAGAAAGGAGTCTGAAAATGTCCCGTAGTGCGATATATATGGGAAGGGGATTCTTTTCTGGGAGAAAATGTTGCTTGGTAACTGAGCAGGAAATAGCCAAACGATGGATAGCTTTGGATTTAGGATCGGCTGGCGAAAAAAGTATCAGGTTGTAAAGTTTGATGACGATGATGAATGATGATGATGATACAACTACCACCAACCATCCCACCCTATCCTTATATATCTTTCCCCATACATCCAAACCACACGCGCATAATCCGCAGTCGCATCTTCTACCTACGTCAGCCTGTGGAATCTGCCTCGCACAAGCCCACTCCCATCAGGCCTCCCACTCGCCTACCCCTGCCTCACCCTACCTCACCTCCCCACGTGACCACCACACAGCCCTCAAGGCGGACAATGCAACCCAAACGCCTCACTTCACCGTTTTCGCCATGCAAAGGAAGCCGGAGAATTAGAAGTTCGGAAAGGGCAAAAGAAGGATTGGGGTGGAGGCGAATGGGGGCCTGATTCGTCCCAAGTCTTTTTTTGGGGGGGCAGTGGGAGAGCGGGAGTGGATGAGTGGGGTGGGCTGTGCACACACACACACATACATGCATTTATCCAGAAAGGGAAAGAATAGAGCGCGCAAAGGAAAGCAAGGAAGGTAGTAGGATTAGCGTCAGCACCCAAGGGATTTCGCAAAGGGTCCGCGGTGAGTAGGATTGGGGATAGCGCCAAAGATCGTATTTCGCATATCTTGGATGCAATCCAGAAACGGAAGTGAAAGAGCGCGCAGGAAAGAGGGGGAGTGGGTCACGGACCGGTCAGATAGATAAAAGGGTACTCATAGAGCGAAAACCTCGTTGGTTCGATGGGTGTCGAGAAACACCGAGCAAGGCGCATTTCGTCGAGGCAGACAGAGAGTGAGACAATGGGAGATATAGTCGATGCGTGAAAATGGTATTGTAAGATGCAAGTATTAACCTATCAGAGTCTCATTCGGGAAAAGAAAAAATGGGACATGTTATCGCAAACTCCCCTGTCCGTTCAGAGAGAAAAGAGGGGGTAAAAGCGTATAAAAGCAAGAGAGACGACATTGCAAAGACATGACGGGATAGAGCTATGAGAACAAAAAACGCAATGTCTGAATGAAAAAAAAAAGCGCAGCCAAGGTTAATGAAAACATCTGCTCATCCTCACCAATCTCCCTCTCCTCCAGCCCCAACTCTCTCTACTACTTGCGCTACTGCCTTGTAAGTTCCAAAAGAGGCGCCTTGCTGCTGTCTTAGTGCAAAAAAATTGGTATAAGCCAATGCAATCTATCAGTCATGCTCATCTCCCTGTTCTTGCGCGAGCAACATCAATAAAAATCCAGAAGCCGTGACATGAGTCAAATCCTTTGCGCCCTTTGCGCTTTGATGGCTTTGAATTGCTGTACCGATCCAGAAAACGCGTATCCAAGAAGAAGCCATCTCTGCTTCCAGTCCCTATCCAATATTCATTACACGGCCAACTTATAATTCCTAAAGAGCAGGAATGTGGTCGATCCATCCTCGTTCGCGCGCTCTTACTTTCCACCTTGCTTCTTTGCCTTGAGCGCAAGGTGCGAGTACACCCATCCACCGCCCAGTGCGAGCAATACACCGAACCATTCTCTTCCGCTGAGGATCTTTCCCTCGCTGTACCATCCTATGCTCAGAATCAAGATAGTCTTGAGATGGCTGACAATGTTGAAGGTCAAGGCACTGGTCCTTCCAATGATCAAGAACTGACTCAGGTTGTACATGGAAGCCATGATACCCGATGCGCATACGCTCCAGAGGATATCAGTGGGCACAGTCGAAAGATCGGGAAGAGTGTCGAAAAATGGAACAAAGGGAATAAGCAGGCAGACTGAAATGGGTGCCTGGTTGAGCAGAAGCTGAGGAGGCGACACGGCAAAGTCCTCAATCTTCTTGCCGATCCAGATTTGGTACAGGGCAGTACTGCAGAAAGCCAGGGTTGCGATAATGACACCAAACAATTGCGTCTTGGCCGCCTCGTTGATGGTGAAGGAAACTCCAATGCATGTTGCAAGGATCGCAGCCAGCATGTATCGCGTAACGTACTTTCGGAATAGGACAAAGTTGATGAGAACGACCGTGGGTGTGGTCATGACCTTGGAAAGCTGGTAGAAGCCAATCGAGTTGAAGGTCAGGCTAAGGTTGCCAAGAACAACATAGCCGGCGAAGAAGCCGCAGACGGGTAGCATCTGCCAGATGTTGAGTTTGACAGCCTTAAAGGCGTAAAAGGGCCGCAGCGTCGAAATGAAGAGAACGAGACCGGTGGCGGTGAAATGCCACATGACGACCATGAGTTGGCATGCCTTGAGCTGCTTGTCGCTGAATACTCTGCGTGGCGGTTAGCAAACAGGTTTCCAACGCGGTCAGCGCTTATTGTCCCATACCGTTTACTCAGGAAGATCAATCCCAGCGTTGAGAGCGTGTTGAGCGCGATCCAGAAACATGTTATCAGCTTGTCCTTGAGCGATATTGGCGTAGGTTCTGTGACGGGCTTCTCGAATGTGGGCAGCTCCTCGAGCTCGTGAGATTCACGGGGGTCGATGTTGTCAACGAGGCCCTCGATGGAGGGGCGTTTTTCCACTGCATGTCTGTCAGTCGTTGATCTCTCCTTTTTCTGAAATGGCGCATAGCCACGCGATGGGTCCAGGGTTCGGATGATGATCGCGGTTTCGACGTACCCATGGTGTATGGATGTGGTGATGTATGTAGCGAGCGAAAGTGGGCGGGCTCGTCTGCACTATGCCTTCATGCCAATAGTAAAATCGTGTCGGTAATAGGAGAGCAGAAGTAAGGCCAGGGCGCGCGAGTACTAGATGAGGCGTTGTGCGTGCGGTAGCGGGTAGGACGGGAGGTGCGGCGGTGCAGGTGAGGCGTCCGGACCGAATACAGCGATAGGCGATGGCGATGGCGAGAGCGAGGGCGAGGGCAATGGCGGCGGCAGCAGCGGCAGCAGCAGCAGCAGCAGCAGACAAAGAGGGCGGAGATGGCAGGCGGGGCGACGAGGGTTTTGTAGCAGCGCAAGCCGGTGAGATGGCTAACGTGTCGTGAGGGCGGAGAGGGAAACCAAGGGGCGTACCAGCGGGAACCAAGTAAGTAAGATGCTATCCGAAAGGGATCCTCATCCGCCAAGGAAACATGTTGAAGGGGGCAAAGAGGGCTGCAGGGTTTTGTCGTACTGGCCAGCCGCGCAGCCCAATCGGCCGCGGCCTAGCAGGACCGTGTCAGCCAAATAACTTAACTTTGAACGTTTAATTTTAGATGGTAATGCGGTTGCGCTACTGCTTACGGACAGGATGGCCTTTGTTTCTGTCGCTGTCGCTGGCTGTCGGTACCGCTGCTCGCATCCTCTCCCTTTTGGGCCTCCTCTCCCTTGGCACTTCAACGCTCTGGCCGTTGGTTACCATGTCTTGCTGCTTGTGTGTCCATGGCATGCTGATCAGGCATTGCCTGTCTGGAGATGGGATCGCAAGTATGCCGCGACATCCGAATCTGCTCTGCCATGGCTTGGCCTTCACATTGGCCCGTTACACAGTTTTCCCCGAAAAACCCTTGCATGAGCCCCTAGTAGTACATAGCATGAGTGAGCCCCAGCCCGTCTACCAAGACCTACTCAACGTATCAACTGTACCAGCCCGAGTAATCTGATGCGCCCAACAGTACTGAGTTTGGCTTGCTGACCGTTGCATACTTACTCACTATGCATCAGCGAGGGGCCATGCTTGCAGGCGGAGATTTGCCCCCCGTATCGGAAATTGCGCCACACGTCCTCGACTGACAGCCACTCTCAGCCACAGCAGTACAGTGCGATCGTCGCTCGTTGCCCCATTCACTGCTGCTCTCGTTAGCGCCAAGTTTTTTTTTGCATACGTA